ATATATATATATAATTTTTCTTTATAGATGATAAAAATACTTGAGTCATATATTTCAGATCATATATTTTCAGAAAGTTTTTATGTATAACATATATTTAAAATATGTAACAAATATGTATAGAATTTATTTTCATGATATTTTTAACATTTTCAGAATCTATAAGTGCTGTTAAGGATATTTTATGATGCATAGTTACCTCCAAAATAAATTATAAATTTTCTTTTATAATAACAAAAATTTCCACTTTTTTCAATGTACACAGTAAGAAAAGAAAATATAGAATATTCTGAGACAATAAAGAATACAATTGCCAAACATATTTACCTCGTAGGACCTATTAATATGGATAGTGTGGTCCAGAAATCCAGTGTGTGTCATTCTCCTCAACAGAGTAAACATCGAGATTGTTATTATGCAATCGTGTAAGAAACGATAAGTGATAAGCTTTTTTTTTATCGTTCCGCGTATCAAAGTTCGAGTCACACAATCGCGAGGAATGAACACGCACTGGAACTGTAAAGAAAGGTTGTCAATACTATTATCAATAATAGACTTGTCAATATCTCTGTTTGAATTGTTTGAATAGCATTCCAACGTGCTTTGCGACAAGAATGCGGCATTGACTACAACGATCAAATTTATTATTCGAATTCAGTGAAAGGATTCTTTAAGTGATTCTGCAAGTGAATCTCTCACGAAAATTCGATGTGAGGCTTCCGATCCCATTATCGTTCTAAACATGTAGATATAACCTTGCCCATCTTGCTCCGAGTTCACCTATTTACGTTTCTCCGATCCTCAATCATCGTGAAATTTGAGTCAACGCAGGATTCAGGATTATAGTAAAGTGAGTGCTGAAAAAAACATATCGAAAGAGGCGAATTAAACGCTGTTTGCTTTTCTGTTTTGATTTTTTTTTTTAAATAGATTATCAATTCAACCGTCAACATGAGTGCGAGACGCGAGTTTTCCCGCCACAAACATAACACGTGTTCACGCGCAGTTTCTCGCGTGGTTCTCAGTCTCGCAACTTAACCTAATGAAACAAGGCAATGGCACACGATGCAATTAATTCAATTAAGTCCATGGCACATAGAAAAACTTAAAGCCTTGTGTCCATGATACTAAAAATCGGTCCGAGATCTTGGATGGAAAGAGAATTGATCAATCGCATTGGTTAATTGACTAAATTATTCGAATGCGATTGGCCAATTCTCTTTCCATCCGAGATCTCGGACTGATTTCTAGCATCGTGGATACAAGGCTTTAAGCAGTAAAGCATAAGCAATAAAAATATTGACCGGTCATGTTCGATTTTTTAAGTCTTGTGTCTACGATGCTAGAAATTCCGAGATCTCGCTAATAATTATTTACATATTTATAAATAGTGTTTATACGGGCAGTATTGTCAACAATCAATTTTGTTATGTTTCGCTTCGTCGCTCTTAACCTAATCTTTGCGTAATATCACACTGGGTAATACTAAATAATAATTAATTAAAGTTAATCAGAGTCATCAGGAACTCAACTCTAATTAATATGATCTGCCGATTAACTTTTTTATCACCAGAATTGCCAACAGCGAGACATCAAAATCTTTTAATTCCTAATCTATTCATGGTAAAAGGAAAGTAAATATGGATAATAATAACAAATTATATTTTGAAACATAAATACAGTTACAGTTACAGTTACAGTTACAGTTTCTAGTAGTTTTACAAATATATATTTTAATTAATATATATTTTAAATTAGATTAGAGATGATAAGTTTTGACAACTCTTAAATTTAATCGGCCGATCAAGTTAATCAGCTTGGTGAGATCGACTCTAGAGGTGATTTTCGACTGTGAGAATCGTTTCGAGAGCGATTAATGACGTCATAGTGCATCTAAAGTGAGAATGTAGGATACAAACGTTGAAAAAAAGAAAGAACGAGAAACGCGAATGCAGGAATTGCACTATGATATCGTTAATCATTTTTGGAACAATCAAAACCCCCATTACAAAAATATTAAATTATAATTAATTTAAATTGATAGAGATAAACATAAATTCATATTCGATTCTTATTTTAAGACCGTCTTAAAATGCTAATATGGCTCTGTAATTGGTTGATAATCTCTTAAGACAATACTTAAGAGTCTTAAATATAAGAATACTATTTGAATATGAATACTAGATCGCATGCAAATGCTAATATTAAAAATTCGTCACTCAGGTATAGTCAGTTCTTAAGAGCATTAGATTTAAGATCTCTTAAGATTTCAGAACGTTACTTTTTCAACAAATCAGTAAAAATTCTCTTAAATGCGTTTTTAATTTACTTGATTTTAATTTCCATTTACAACCAAAAACATAGTACAGCCTATATTCTAAAGTCTCTTCTATCGATAGAAATGTCTCGAAAAGTGATTATAAGCCTTCTTCTGATTGGCTGTGAGTCACTCTTCTATCAACAAAAGAAGATTCAAAATATGGACTTATGAATACAGTACGCACAGGCTCGAGAGTGGGAGAAACAAACAGATTTTAGAAAAGTTTCGATGGAAAGTTCTAATTATTCTATATCGTCTACTGCGTTCAACCATACGTAGCTGCTTTTCTTCTGTTTTCTATTAAAATTTAAAATAAAGTAAGTAGAAATTTATAGCGTTATATTATGTTTGTGCGATCATGACCCACACGTCAAGAAAAAAAGAAAAGCGGGAATTCGGAGAAGTGAAGAACATTTTATCAATAATAATTCAGTTATAATATTTCAGTTTAATAGGATTTAATTTGTAAGATAAAAAGTCACGATAAAAAAGTCACGATAAAAAGTCACGATAAAAAAGTCACGATAAAAAATAATATTCTAAAGCTATATAGTGGCACTGTAGTCTTATCTCAAACACGTGGTTTTCTTAGCAACTTCTAATAATTAAAGATAAGTTCATTGATCGAACTCCATGTAATTTAATTCGAAATTAATTCAACGAGCAGAATTTAATTCTCCTTAATGCAAAATTGCATGCATTATATATAGAGAATTCGCTGTTCCCAACTTAATTTTTCCTTCCTAAATGTAAAATTATCTAAAATAAAATAAATCATTTAATACTCAAAACTTGATGATTAAATTATAACAATTTTAATTGCAGTTTTTATTATAATAATAATGCAAAAAAATTTGAAATGCACACACGCGTATGGCCGCAAAAAATACGCACATGCACGATACGCATCACGCATCACATATCGTACACTAATGAAGTTTTTAAATTTGAAATTTCTTCAGTTTTTCAATTTGAAATTTCTTCTCATTAATTATCTGAAATATTCTATATATTTATATATCTTTCTATATTTATTTTTAAATATTTATATTATATAAAAAATTTTATATTTTTGACAGATGTTCTTAGAGCACATTCCCTCGAATACATTCCTTTTTTTATGAAAATGAAATTAATGAAAATTTGATGGAAGAATATACAATTCTAATAAATATCTTTAATAAGTTTATTATTTTCTCTATATTTTCTTTATACACGAATTTAAGCTAAAAGTCAGTTAAACTAATATTATTATTTGGATTTTAGAATAACTTAGTGGGCATTCAAGATGATTTGTGAAACCGCCAGCAATCTTGAACGACAGAAGGATGAAATAACAGCTCTTTCCAACATTTATAACAAAACAGAATTTTCCTATATGAAGGGCGAGTGTACAATGTGCTCCTTCAATATATCTTCAAAATTGCCTAAAAATTAAAAATACAATTCACTAATTTTTGTCCTTCCAATGCTTCTAACGATATTTTTGTTGAACACTTGCCGCCAAGCAGATTGTACACTTACCTTCCGGACACATATCCATCTAAAAAACCGCCAAGTTTTTATCTCTCCATTATGTGGTTGACCCCTTGGGAGACAGCTTTTGTTTGTCAGGAATTGGACGAAATATGGGAAAAGAATCAAGGCAACGAGATAATTTTCTTATGGCTATATTTTCTACAAAACGATATTTTTAATTTCCTAAATATACAAGATACTTTAAATGTCTCCTTTGCATATTTAAATAACGCATCGCAGGACGATGTCATATTCGACTATCAAGTTCAAATAACCGATTCCCGCGTTTTAAGTGGTGCAATGTCGTTAGACATTAAAAAATTGTTAGTGTGTTACGACATGGGGCAACATAAAGAGCAATTTCGCAAGAATTTGTATACATGCTACATATGCTTCGAGGAATACAAGGGAGTGGACTGTATAGAATTGGAAAACTGTCGGCATGTCTATTGTAGAGACTGTATGGAGAAGCACATACGAATCAAGATTGACGAACGTACTAATCTAATATTGTGTCCGACGTTAGACTGCAGATACAAAATAAGTGACAACGACATTCGGGCTCTTTGTCCAAGTTTGTTCTCGAAGTACGAAGAAATCATGTTGCGAATAACATTAGATACTATGGATGATATGATATACTGTCCTCGAATTTCTTGTCAATACCCAGTTATCAAGGAACCTAACGATACCGCACCAATCTGTCCTAATTGCAACTACTGTTTTTGTCTGTTTTGTCGTAAGGTAAGTCATAATTCTGTTTTTTTAAGCTGAACTTGTTGCATAGTTCATCTTTCTTTTTTCTTCAACATGAAAAGAAAAAAGGAAAGATGAACGATACGAAAAGTTGTGTTAAAAAAAAATAAGTTTAATTATTATAGTTATACCATGGACATGCATCATGCGAGATGACATCAGATGAAATTATAAAGCTTGTAAACGAATACAAAAACAGCAATGACAAGGAGAAGAACAACTTGGAGAAAAAGTACGGTAGACGGCAAATGCAACTAATCGAGAAATGTCTCACGGATGAATATCTCCAAGTAAGTATGACAAAGTATATTCGATCATATGGAAATTATTAAGACAAAGTAATAAGATTACAAAAGAATATTGTTTTTAATGATTACATGGAATTTTAGGATAATGCCAAGAGTTGTCCGAAATGTCGCTCTTTCATTAGTAAAACTGAAGGTTGCAATAAGATGATGTGTACATATTGTCAATGTTATTTCTGCTGGTTGTGCAACAAGCAGATATATGGATATGAGCACTTCAATACTACTAATAGTCAATGTTATGGACTTTTATTTGATGGGATAGGCAACGATGAACAGAATTATAATGAGCATGATTACAATGAATATGATTTTGATGAATATGATTTCGATGAATATGATTATAATGAATACGATGATGATGATGAGATTGATGAATTTGACTAGTATTAGTATTAGAATATGTCAAATTTGAGAATTTATATAATCTGTTTTAACATTTCTGTTCATATATTTAAATATGTACATTTTGTAAAAATTTTTCGATCTTTAACGTAATTATAATTTAGATCCAAATTGTGACTGATCTTTGTTTATATCTTGTGATATGAGAAAAAGTATTATATTATCAATTATTGATTATGAAATTTTGAATGAATGTAATTTACTACTTCTTATACATCTTATATTAATATTAGTTCAATATTTTCTTAAAAAATATTAACTATTATTAAAATCAATAATAGATATATTATATATTTGTACATTTGTAACAATATTGTAACAGAATATATTTTTGTATCTAATATATAGAAATCTAATCTCATTTGCATAAAAAGATATGAATAGATACGTTTTTTTAAATTTGTTTATATCACATATTTGTTACTTTGTAATGTTTACTTGTAATGTTTAATAAAACTATATAAAACATGTAAACATATAAATGTGTAATATGCAATGTGATAACAATTATTATCCTAGATAATATCAGACTTTCCATTGCTATATTCGTCAGAATTCACGTATCTCTCGATACGTGAACTTCGATATTTGCCTCGGTGACTAATTGTTCTGCAACGATAGAGACGGCAGATTCGCGTCTTTGTTGATTCGAGACAATATCTAAGAGCGATCACAAAAATAAGGTCAAAATCACTTTTCTGCAACCTTGATTAACATAATGTTGCGTTACCTTCGCAATTCTTATCACATTCTGCTATTGCTTGCTTGCGATGAAAGCGTTGCATGTTTAATTGTATGAGCCTAGGACCGAATATCCAGTATCCCAAACACGCTCCGATTGCAAGAGCGATGGTGATATATGCATTATACGTCATAACTGCTATCATTAAGATATAACCAAGCGTAGTGTGAAGAGACCAGTGCAATGTTTGTAGACTCCATTTCATGCAGCGTCCACTAAAAAAATATATGAAATATTAACTTAAAGCAAATACTCTTAGATACTACAGGAAACAAATATATTACTTAAAAGCATTAAGTTGCGAGTTTACAATATTACTATAATAATTAAACAATGAATAACTTTGCAACTATTTAAAAAATTACTATTAAGCTACTATTATTATACAAGAATGTTGCAGTTTATTTATATAAAACTAAATATTCTAAATTGTAAAGCTTGTTTTTTGTTAGAGATAACTGCTGGCTATTTCTAACGTTAACTTAATCAATTCAATTTAATTCAATTTAACAACAGAACTATTTAAAATAAAATTTCTAATCATCAGAGTTTGTTGTTCCTTCAATCTTTCTTATATGCTAAGAGATTGATTTTATCTATTGTTTGTACTATATCTAAATAAAAAACAGATAAGACTCAATAAGATGAATAAAATTTTGATTAAAAGTCAAAGTGCTTGTGTCGGATTGTCTTATCACTTCAGAGAGATAAGAAAAGAACAATGTACCATCTTGTATAAGTTTTAAAATTCTTTAGTGTCACTTTGGATAGAAGGGACGAGCTTTCCGAGGAAGCTGAAGTCGTTCTAGGTACAGATCTGATCACAGTTTGTTGTAAATGGATTTGAAAGACTTTCATAGCCTCAAAGAGCACTGCAAGTGCCGCCAAGCCCAAGCATGTCGCTACCAGGCCCCACACCGTACTAATATTGTATCCTGGGAACAGAAAGTTGTCCAGGTCCACGCCAAACCAGTACCACATGTGCATCTACAACAATATATAAATAACGACCTATCCAATCAGATCCAAATCCTAAAGTGAAAGAAAAGTGTCAAGAATTAGAATTACACCGACCTTGATTATCTCAATTCTCTTCCATGTGTCTTTGACTCGCGAAAGATATTCATGACTGATAAGTCACGCGTATACAAACGCCTACGCATTCTATCAGCTACCTAGCCTTACCAACAATGCCTCTACCAACGGAGATCCTCAGCTCAAATTACAAATCATATTATGCCTATGTGTAATGTCTCAGGCATGTAACACGTATGTAAATCTGTGAGTCTTGTCTTGATTCAATATCAAATTTCAATTCAATTATTCGAGAGCGTTCCTTCCAGCTCCTTCCGAGAATTCGATCTCGCACTTGCCGAGATATTCCCTCGCGATTTGCACCAGGAGACGCGATATCAAAAACAATATGCAACCAGATCTGATTGGCGCGCGCTCGCAAGTTCGACGAATCGGACATGTCTATCCCGAGAGACGACGACGCGACTCGTGTTTTCTTCATCGGTAAATTCAGCGGAGGAAAGCCGGCTTTTTACGCGCAATAAATGAACAACTGATCGGCGATGCGATTGACAAGGTGAATTCTGACAGATCGAACAAACAATTGTCAAATCGCGAAGCGCTGGAGGAGTGCGCCGGATGCTTCATATTGGAAAATCCGTTTCTGCAAAGTAGCAGAGCTTTTTGCGGAAATAAATTCTTTATTTAAAAACTTAAATGCAACTCGATAAAGAAACAGAGATGGGATTGTTAAGGAAACTCGCATTTCTCGCTTGTATTTCATTCATCGCGCGTACGAACGCAACTTGTACGGTAGGTGGGTATTTGTTTGTGAAAATTTTTTTGTTTGTCTCAAACTTTTCTCGCTTCATGCAATTGATTACTTCATGATAAAATTGTAAATTGCTTAAACGAGATTGCGTTTAAGAAAAAAATTTGAGAGTTTATCACGAGTTTCTCATTGTTCAATATTAAAGATATGTTATGTTTGCAACTTCTTATTTTATGCCTTTTTTCTAAAAAGGTTTAGTTTCTTTTTTTCTTTGAATTAAATGTCTTAATTCGAATAGAATTTAAGGATGTGATAATACTGATACTGAGTCAAAGTGATGGCTATCATGCGGCTCATGCTGTCCAAATGAAAAATAGCATCCAAGATCAAGCTGATACTTTAGACAAAGTACGTTTCATTATAGAATTTCTTTATATCTTATTAAGTATTTGGCAACTATATTTAATTTGTATTTGTTAAATAAAATTACTTTTAGGAACCACCACAAGTTGTATTATCTCATGAACTTAATATCCAAGGTTCTTGGACGATAATTCCAATGCTTACATACTTGTCAGATCAATTTCCACATGGAAAATGGTTCTTCTTTTGTCTGGAAAATACTGTAATCCGATTACAGAAGCTATTGAATGTTTTTGAAAAATTTTGTTCATCCAAGGTAAGTTATTTAATTGCAACCATTTGGAAGAATACAGTTTAGAGTAATTGATTCAACAGTAAATCATGTTTTACTTTTTATTTTAAATTTATTTATTTTTTTTTAATATTAAATATGATTTTAAAAATTGTATATTTTATTTGTAAATTATCTTTTATTAGGACAGTATTATATTCTAGATAATTTATTTTTGCAGAATATCTGGATTGGACATATACTTTATGATCATCAACCTACTATTATTCATCATTTTTCAGATAATAAAAAGTTCAAATATCCAAACTTAGAATCTGGAATTGGCATGACTATTACACTGTTAAACAGGTATACGTAATTCTTATGTTAAGTAATTATTATTATAAAAATTATACATAAATAATTTCTAAGGACAAACTAAAAATATAAAATAAATCATAGATAAAAATTTGATAAAATTAAAAATTAAAAGCTATTTTCTTTTAGAAAAGATAACGAGAAAATATTTTTAGATGTTTTTCAATTTTCTTTGTTTTACAAAACTAGCTTTTGATATGTAATTTTGTTATGTTTGTTGTCTACAATATTTTTCTGTAATTTCTTTTCATCCAGAAATTAATATTTATTATTTTAGTTATTTTTATTATTTTAGTTTGGCTAAAGAAATCCGTGATGGCAAGGAACCGGAGCAAGACTTTTCTATCGATGCACCATATGAATTCGCGAAATTTATCTTAACAAATAAGGCCGCAAAGTTGATTCATATGCATAGGCTATGTGTAGTGTCCGCTGAAAATTGTGCCACGTATCCCCGATTCTTCCATTCTTGTGTATGTCACGAGATATGAGTTCTTAATAAGAATAATTTTAATTAAATTGAAAAAAGGAACAATACATTTTATTTCTAAACTATACTATAATCAATACAAATACATTTCCAAATGTTTGCAGAGTTCTCACATAGCTCCAAAAGATGTTTATTTCGCCGTTAAAACTTGTGCCAAATATCATGTAAGCAGAATTTCAGTAGTTAAGAAAACGTGGGCCAAATATAAATTGAACATTGGATATTTCAGCGATGCAGCTGGTATGCTTGATCAATATATAATATTCAAATATTATAATATTCAAATAATAATATTCAAATTTTGATATATTTATAATCTTCACAAATTGCTGAACTTTCTATTACAGATAAAAATTTACCGGAGGCATACGTTGTCCCAAACACCACTACAGGACATTGTGCTAAAACATATGCTATCTTGCAAGAAGCCAGCAAAATATTAAAAAAACAAAATTTCAAATGGCTTGTTATTGTTGACGACGATACCATACTCAGGTGAATACAACTACATTAAAAATGTTATTTCAAAATTGTCAAGATATTGCAAAGTTCTGTGAAATAAGTGTAATTTTTAAAAGGCACAGATTTAAAGCAAATTAAAAACATTCTACAAACAATGAATTGTATTCGCATAGAATATTTAATATACTTCAATGTATTACAGTGTATCACGTTTATTAGACTTGCTCACGTGCTACAATCCTGAAAGTTCACTCGCAATTGGCGAACGTTATGGTTATCGTATATGGAAGCGTGGCTATCAATATTTAACTGGCGGTGCAGGCATTGTATTATCAGCTCCTTTAGTTCATGAGCTAGTATCTTCGGATTCATGCGAATGTCCGTTTGCAACTATTCCCGATGACATGTATCTTTTTGGACATTGTTTGCAGCATCATGGACAAATTGTACATTTTTCGATGTTTCATCAAGTATGTATAATTTGTTTCGTAATTTATATTAAAAGTTCAAATCAACATATATAAATGTACAAGAAAATACACACACACACACACACACACACACAATGTGTAATTTAGAATAGTTAGCTTATAAAGAAATTATACAACTCTATTATAGTATTTAATATTCTGTAATTATTGAATAAACTAATAAATTTACTTTAATAATATGATAATAAATCATACATTTGATAATTGTTTCAGGCACAACCTGGAGATTATCCTAATGCTTATTTGACTCAAGAACCTATATCATTTCATAGATTCTGGAATTTTGATCCTGAAGCTATATATAATGATTGGTTTGCAGCTGCAGATCAGCACCTGCCACTTGCACATTTATCACATTCAGAATTATAATACAAAAAACATTTATATAAATTTATATAAATATGCAATAAAATTGTTTTTATTTTTATATTTGTAATCGACTTATTTCTTTAAAAATCGTGGGTTTTTATCTTTATAGTTTTGAAATAAAAAACCTAAAGAATTTAAAATATAAATTTTATTAATAAAACTTTTTATTTAGTAGCATACATTTATAAAGCAAAAATATATACAATGTGTAAAAACCCTTGTAACAATATATAAAAATAATATTCAATTCATATTACAACTTTAACAACATCATATTTAAATATCAATTATATCATAAAAATTGATGTTAATTTGTACGTTAATTGTAGACACTGTATGACATATAACAAATTATTTTGATGTTACAAATATTAATACATACGTCCCCTAAATTAATACATACAAAACTCTAAACGAGCAATATGAATTTGTATTGTGCGTTTGTTTCGAGCTATTAAAAATTTTTAGATATTTTAAAATCTATGAATAATACATAGAAAAATATTTTTTGTCTTATATTCAGACTTATTTCGTAATTTTATATTACAATTTAGCTCGGATTTCGTTCCACCATGATGGACGTTCCAAGTTCTCCTTGTCTTTAAATATCCATTCTTTTATATGCTTATATACCTAGATAAAAAAACCATTTTCAATTTATTATATGATGAAAAAGACAAATAAATAATACAGTGTAAAATATTTAGTAGAAAGTAGTATATACCTCGCCATCGGACATTCCTAGAGCAGAATCGAGAATAAAGTCAGGCGGAGCCAATACATCAACTAACGCAACCGCGTTATCGACTAAGTCTTTGCATAACATTATAATTCCTTTCCGCAAAAAATCATCTATATTACTACTGGGAGAGGCATAACCACCGCTGTACAAGTCTCCCAATCTCTTTTCCAATGTTACAGCTCCAAATAAAGAACATAGTTTTGTCAATACCTCTCTTTCATTCGCTTTCCATTTTGGATCTTGTAAACATTTGATAAAGTATAACATTATGGCATGCTGTAACAAGAGAAAAACCTACTTGTAAGTTGTTGAAACTAATTGTATCTATTTTTATTTCATGACGTACATTTACATAACAATTTGCATTATCGCTGTATGCAAAATAAATTTATTTCATGAAAAATACATATGCATTTTTTGTAAGTAGAATGATTGACATTTACGCGCTAATGATTGAATTTATTACGAATTGTTTAAAGTTGTAACACACGCTGTTTTTCCGTTTCAATTGAAATATTATGTATACACATAAATTTTACCTCTCCATATACGAGAGACAAGGTTCGCGCTAAAAATGATTGCACATTGTTTTTCACATCAAAATCAGACATCCCGCTCGATTTGAGTTCCTTTACACGTTGATGAGTCTTTTTCAAATAATAACATACCAACCATTTAAAAGTTAAAAGTAAAGCTAAAAAAAATAATATTAATTTTAATAAATCATTCACCCAGTTCATAAATTATAGCAATATATCTCACTACAATAAAGTAATATTTTTTTATCATACATACTTTCAGGCTTTAATACACTCTCCAATGTAGTTTGATTAAATTTGGTGTTCAGTATTTGTTCTGCGTTCACAAGAAAATCCGCAGAATTAAGCGGAGAAGACACAGGTTGTCCTTTATTTACATTGGTCCATTGATTTAACAACCAATTACTTGCTTGCTGAATAAGTACATTATTTTCACCCTCGTACGTACAGTTGGCATCGTTTTCAGCTCTTATGTCACCCAAGCGAGACACTACAAGACAATTTTTTTTTTTATAAAAATATAATATGTGTGGTATATATTAAAATTTTACACTTACTTTTCAAATATCCATGCCCACCGCAAGATTCTCTGCAGTCCTGAATCGCGTCACGGGCAATCCACGAACATAATGATTTCGTTGCGGAAGACAATGCGTGTATTTCCATTCCTACATCGGCGGCGGAATCTTTACCCTCAACCATGTTGTTTGTTTGAAATGTACGCATAATTCGGATTAACGTCGTTGAAAATATATTTACCGCATATGTTGCGGCTAAATGTGGAATGATTCGCCATTGCTGAAACATGTACACAGATCTTTATCTTCCGTCCGGAATCCTGAAATGAAAATCTTGCCAGTATACGTACTTGCGTTTGATATTCTATAACTGGCAATTCATTATCATCGGTAGGACCAAATTGTTTCCTAACTGCACAATAACGTATGGCAATTGTCAATGCTAGGATCATATAATGGCTGCATATCCTAGTAATAGAGACGCGACCTCCTGAGAGTGCACCCAACGATGAGCCTGCATAGGCAAAACATTAGTGGAATCAATTAAAAATATTCAGTAAACATCAACTAATAGTAATATCAACATTATAAATTCTCAGTGAATATTACAAATATAATATAACACATATACATAACAATTACATTATTAAAGATCGGTTGTTTTGAATAAATTTGTGATAGATAAAGCTGTGAGTAAGAAAAAGAAAGAATGAGAATTTATCGAAAGATGGAACAATCCATTTTTAAGTGAGAAATTATAATATTGATAATTACTGGTTTGTTGTACTAATGTTTAATTCCCACCATATCTTTTTCGTTCATCCTTTAAAGCGAGCACATACTTTCCGTCCTCGCTGACATCCGCGGTGCGATTTAATAGGTGGTTACGTGGTATGGAATAATTATTGAACATTAAAAATCCATTGTCTATTCCATTAAGGGCTATCTTTTCACCCATATCACCGACGGTAACACCGGGAAAAGGCAAATGGGTATTCGAATCTCGAATTGGTACAACGAAAACGTGCAGGCCATGGTTTACTTTGTCCGGTGTAATTAATTGAGCAAATATGATGGCATGCGTTGCGCTTTTCCCTGAAAATTACAGTGTATTAAATACAGTGTATTAAAGATAGAGAAAGCACTTGATGTATCAAATATCATTGCCTTAGTCATCAATTTTAAATTAATTGGTAAAAATTTACCTAAACCACCTGCCCAACACTTTGCAGCTTCGAAATCAGGTGTATGAAGGATGAAACTTTTTGTTGTTTTATCATATGTTGCTGTGGTTCTCATGCCTTTCGCATTTGTTCCATGGGAAATTTCAGTCAGTGCAAAGCAACCGATATACTACAAACACAATTAAAATATTAATAAACATATAATAATAGTATAAATATTAATGAACATATAATAATAATCCTATATTACTGTACATACATTTCCACTGCCAAATTTTCTTATGAAATGGTGATGTTGCTCGGTACCTAGAGCTAATATGGTACCTGGTACCATAGCATACGAGATACTTGATTTAATTGGTATCGATGCATCATATTGAAATATATAAAAGTAAACTTCATAGTCGTTTATTGGCTAAAAAAATTATATATTGAGTACAAATTTCCAATTAATAAAAAACATATTTACGTTAATTTCGAAAATTTATTTATTATCAAGGATTGTTCAGTATCATAATTATTTTAAAATTACATTTATGTCATTGTCAAGAAATACTCGTGCTTGATTGTTGCAACGTCTTCGGATTTCATCCAAATTCCTTGGCGGTGTTATCGGTTTTTGAAACACTGGATGGGTTTCGATGACTCTCCATAATTTATTCTAGATATTCAACTGATAATTTAGGACATTCTTCATTCCTGCCTTTTTACTTATTAATGTAAGTCCACTGATTACGATACCTGAAAACGTATGGAATCCTCTCCGTCTAATGCTAGCTTGAATGACTTCCAGTCGAACGTCGCTCGTTTTCTATAAGCATCCAGTGGTCCTCCTTTTGGCAAATCTCTTATTAAATTACTGGCGATGGACATTGCTCGTTTTTTACCTCTAGCAAAACTATAATTTGTGCATCGGAACATAAATGAATAGCGGTCACAATAAATCTTGCCATGTGACGTTAAGAATGACAACATACAATTATTCAGCAGATTTCGCATGTTTAAATATTTATATATTTCCTCAATTTTTATCAATAATTGCACGTATAAATAATACAATTAATCTTGATTGATCGCTAATAATCGAAATTTGAAAATGTCATCCAATTTGAAATTATATAAAAATAGAAAATAAAAAAACAAAAGTAATTGTGTTCTTTGATCTTATTATATAATGTTTTATCATTGTGTACATAATATTTTTTTATATATGTATTTCTGACTTCTTATACGATGATAAACATAATTCGCTGCCAATTACTAAAACAAAAATGTTAGTCAACAATCAATGTAATGTTATAAATCAATTTTAATCATGTATTTTCACTCTTCATTCTTTTTTCCATTTTCTTCAAGGTGTGAATGCATTCATTTTTAGTTGCATTCTTATGTGACTGTCAAAAATGATCCAAAAGCTGCTCAATCAATATAAAGAAGGAGCAAGAGGAAGAAAGAGTACAGAAAGTGCAGCCAAGAACGAAAGTTGCAATCGGTTGTTCGTCTCGAGATCCTTTTTTATGTTTTCCCCTTTAAAGTCCAAAATCCATTTAAAGTTTTTAAATTCCCATTTAATGAGCGATACACTCAAAATTATCTTATCTTTATTGTTTATCGAATATTACACAAGAAAAGATTAAGTTTCAAATAGGACGTATCCTTAAAGGCTCGATCACAATAAAAATGGAATAAGGAAAATTTAAATATAAAGAAGTAGAAACAAAAAATTAATTTCTACTAATGAAAAAACACTTCAATTAAAGCAAGTTTCCATATATTGAAATTTAATTCTACAATCCTAATTTTTCTGTGTTTAATTCCTTATTCTTTATCCCTTTAGTGCTTGAGCCCTAACTCTCTACGTCACATACGTAGTTAAATAGAGTTCTTTCTATGGTTGCACTACATCTATAATTTCTGCACTTTTCGAACGAGAAGACAAAAACGGTACAAAAGATTCGATTATAAAGACTAAAGATTGAATTTTAGGATAGAGAGAGAAGAGAAATGCACTGAAATACAAAAGAAGTGGCACCAAAATGAAAACCAAGTCGTCGGCGTTTATTGTAAGACGAAAAATGCGCAAAAACGAGAAGCTGTAGAGTCTTCAGTTGCACTTCAATTGCTACTATGCACTTTGTAGGTGCTTTCCATTTAATGACGTAAGTATCTAGTCTATCTTTCTTGGCATTCAATGATTAACAAGAACAAAATGATACTTGTGTCGACTTGTGTCACTAAATGGAAAGCACACTGTATTTAAAGAGAAGTTATGTAAATTTTAAAATAATACTATTAACTTTCGGTTCGAATAAGCGAACTTCGCGCGAGATTTCGATCATTCGATCGTACTTGAACGAACGTTACGCCGTATTTTCACCTCGACACTAGACGGAATGACTGTCGAGAATCGAACCTGCAAACTGTTCGTAGTAATCTGCTCATAGTAATTTTCGCGTGTTACCACTGGCTCTAAATTCACTCGTTTTAAATTTACTTCCACAATGCAAATCATACATTCAAACAGCGATATCGCTTCACATTTTGCGCAGACACTTGAAATACAACAGCTAGCGCATTTTATTATTGCAATTATTTCAAGTAAAATAAAAAAAGTAAAAAAAATGTAGCAGACACATTTTTTCATCTAGAGAACTAGTTATAAATAAATATTTTTTAATGCATTGCAAATGTCCGCTTAGGAAATGGCAAAAATAATGATTAATTACACATTTATAAAATTAGTATGAAAATCATTATAAAATGTTTTTTTCTTCGTACAAAAACCAGTTTAAAAGTTTAATCACAAGTTTAATTATTAACGTTTTATAATATCTATATTTTATAATATATATAATTTTTATAACGTTCTGATTTCAATATTGCATGAATAAAGATATAAAATTTCAAATTCCATTGATATTTTTATTTATGATATGTATTTATTTTTACAAGAGATCAGTACTAATGTACATTGGAGAAGAGCAAAAAAAATAGTAAAAATAATAAAGAAGCCTTTTCTGAATTAATAGTTTGTATATACCAAATCTTATTACTCTCTCCATTGCATATTATTAATAAAACAAAGATGAAGCGAACTATTTACAAAATAGCTATCATAATACATACCATGATATAAATATAAATTATACTTTCTTAATATAACACAAAGAGACTTCTCTTAGCAAATTTAATAATCATTAACTCACTCTGTGGATGAGTTAATATCATATAAATTGATAATTATTATATAAAAAAATATATTTTTTACAACTATTATTTATAACTATTATTTATAACTTATCTTTTATTATATATATTTTTTACACATCAGATTTTCTTTTATATTTTATTTTTATATAAACACAAGTATAATAATTCAATAAAATTTTTTTGGCAACTACAAATTGACATTTTGGATTAATAACATCTTTTTTCATCTTTGCAAAGTTTCTTTTCTACTTCATATAATTAAAAGTTTGTGCCAATTTTTGATATCATTTTTTTTGTAGAAATAATGAAACGATTTTTCAAATAAAAATGAACTATAAAATAAAATGTATTTCAATGTAAAGCTCTTTTTATTTTATTAAATTAGAAATTGGCGCTAGTTCTTCATATCACATTTTTTGTACTAATATGAAATTTATTATTAAAAAGACTTTTGTAGATGGAAATTTTTGTATAAAATTCTTTCTTTTATATAAATAAAAAAATGGGCGCGTGAATTTGGCGTTATTTTTACCTTTTTTAAAAGGTAATTTTATTATATAAAGACAAAAATTTATATATAAAGTATAAAGAGTATATAAAGACAAAGGGTATATAAAGATAAAAAGTATACAATGATTTTTACTTCTGAATTTAATTATTTCCACTAAAAATCGATTTCTGTGAAAACATTATACTAATTCTTTTTTTGTTTTCATTTTGATTAGAATCGTTATTTACCCAAATCTAATTTGATTATTTGTTGAATAAAATTTTCTTTACAAAAGCAATGAACATTTGTATATCATATTTATGTAATAGATTTCTAAAATGTTTTGAAAGTAAACAAAGATTTTAAAACAAAGATACTAACTATTCCTAACATTGTTATTGTACTTTTTATTGAGTATTGATAAAATTATGAAGCAAAAAATATAAACAATAATATTTTAGCTAATAATCAGTTATTCAAGTTAAATATTTATTATAAATATTTTGAAAACGTATGAACTTAGGCACAATGAACGGAAATAAAAATTTAAATATTAGAAATTAGGAGCAGAAAATTATTTTCAATTAATGAAAAAATTCTTAACATTTCTTGATTGTGTATTATTAAGCATATAAATTTCTATTTGTCGAAAGATTGATTCTCTATTGGTTCAGGTATAAAAAGCAGAAATAAAGAATTAAATATAAAAAATTAAGAATACAAAGTTATTTTCGACCGTTATTTTCGATGAAAGAATACTTCAATTGTGTATTGAAACATAGATTTTGAAATTTAATTCTATATTCTTAATTCTCTATTTTTAAATTCTTGTTTTTTTATTTTTTACATTACATTTGAGCTCTAAGATTAGCATTTCCAAATTCTTATTTATAATTAACTTTACTGTTTAAGTTTTACCACTTTTTCTACATGCTTTCAGCTTTAATTATGCATATGCTTACCTGATTTTTAAAAGCCGATTGAAGAAACCTGAGATAATGTCGAGTAATTAATCGAGAAAGATGGAATTCTCTCTTCCCATCCGATTAAACAATAGACAATGTCCGATCAAGATATGATAATGTTCCTTCTAACTCTTCATAGATTACCTTATCTTATCTTTTCTTTTTTCTTTTTTGTAAAAAAAGATAAACGATATATACGCAGAAAACGAAAAATTAATATTACATTTATTAAAATGACAATGCATATATTTATGAGACACATACATTTTAGTGCCCAAAATTAGAACATACTTGTTTTAAATAAGAGAAACTGACTCTCAAATTTATTCAAATATCAACATAAAACAAAACAAGATCTGCTTGATAATTAAGTTTCCGGACTTTGGGTCTAGCGAGACTTTTAGTGAGACTCAGAACTTTATATCGAATATAGAATGTCAATTAACGAAATCTTTTCTGTCAAAAAATGAAAGTGGCTTATCTCAAATTAAACAACTTATCCAATTAAACAATAGTTAATTAAATCATGAATAAAATTATTAATTCTTATCATCTAATATATGAACAAAATTAGCATGTATGGTTCTATATTAAATTAATAGAATATATATCACACAATAATTTCTTAAAAATGTGATTTATTTTAACAACTTAAATATTTCGATATAAAATTATTTTATAAAATTTTGTATGTTTATGTTATTTTGTTGCACTTTATGTTGCACTTTGTATTATTACAATTTCAAGGCCTGTGTTTAGACTATGTAAAGACTATCGAACATCAAGTACATTGATTTCGAATATAAACAGGACTTAAACGAATAGAATATTACAGGTGTGTTATTATAGAAAGGATTGAGAGGATAATTATTGCAAATAAATAATTTTTATCTTTTAGCAATTAATTTGATAATTATACATAATAATTTTGAAGGTCTAACAAAATTATTTTCAAAATAGTGCCAAATTTTTGATTGGCCAACAAAATTGTTTTTCCTATGTAAATTTATACAAATTTGTCGCAAATTTTTTCCGATCATAATTTTCATAATTTCGCCATTGCCAGCATAAAAATTCTTGAAAAATTAAGATATTAATATAATATAGATTATACAATTTATAAATTAACATCTACAAAAGCGAAATCGTATTTGCTCATGAATGTGATTACAATTATCAGAAACACATCGATTTATCTCGAAAGGTCAATAGAGAATATATTCGAGTGCAATAATCGTAGCTTGGATTTTTACCGATGTTCTAATGAATAAGATAATTTATTTAAAACGTTTGTTTCGATGCTTACTGAACCAATTTCAATCTGACACACTCGAGGCTTGGCAAGAATTATGCAAGACTATCAGCGATCCGAGTTGCAAACACATGCAATTGTCTGCAAACGAGTTCATCAAAAATTGATGTCGCGAAAGAGAAAAGGAACAAGAACTTCAAGAAATCGATAGTTTAATACGGGCAGAAAGTCTCCTTTAACATCGAACACGGACAAGTATCTCTTGAAATATGCGTGCTGTGACAATAATGGTGGCTCTTATCTTTTTTTCACGATTTATTCGCATCAGTACCAAAAGGTGGGACAATAATCATAAACTTTCAACATAAAAACATATTTTCTAAAAAAATTATTTTCAGATATATTTGACCTAATTTTTGATAGCAAAACCATTCTTTCTGTAATCATCTAGATGTTGTATGTATATTTAGAATTTGCAAATAAATTGTAATGCTTTTATAACATTGCAGAAGTTTCAAACAAATACATTGCGAAAACGCGAACGATCTGAAATTGGTAGTCGAAGAAATTGTAGAGGAAATCGCCACTCACAGCAGCTGTATAGTTTTTATTACTGATTCCGTTTATCATGGATTGATTGATATGCGTGCTATTGAAATATCTGTCTTCTTTTCAAAGTTCAATGTGAGTATCAAGTATCGTATGTTTACACGGAGAGAAGAGTTTTTCTGATAAATCTAAAAATTTGATTAGATATAAATCTAAGAATAAGATTATTAGACTTTCAAAATTATTATGTATAATATTCAAATTATTATGTATAACATTCAAATTAATTGTTAAAAGATAAAAAATTTTTGTATTATTATCATGCTTAAATGTTCATAATAATTTTGATGATCCAACAAAATCGTTTTCAAATCTATATCTGGCCAAATTTTTAGATTTGTTAATAAAATTGTCTCCAAAAGAGTGAAGAGTATTCATTCTTGAAAAAACATAAGTTAAAATAAATTAAAAAAAAAAAAAACGAGCGATTACATTTGTACGTTAATACTTTCCTCTTATTCTTCATTCTTATTTTACATCTATTTAGTTTTAGTATTTAGTTTAATATATTTTCATAATATATTCACTATCATTTTTCTATCAGATAATCATACGCGATAATGACAATTTTTCTCGACCGAGAAAAAAAGTATCAAGAGTTCTTCAATATATTAAAGCAACAGGTTGCGATGCGTATGTTATTCTAATCGCTAACGGACTGCTAACATCACGATTTCTGCAATATGTTGAAGGGTAATCAATCAAGTCTGAAAGATAATTTAAATCCATGACTAACAATTAATTCTAAGATTAATGTCTAATGTCCCGTATGATAAATTTTTTGAACGCGTTGATTTTCTATACAATAATAAAATGTTTAAATCTCTAAAAATTTTCTATCTTGTAATTAATTAATAAGTTCAAAAAAATCTGATCGTACGACAAATAAAATCTTAATCTAATTATATCTCTTAAATCTGTCAATTATCAGAAAAATGTTAATGCTATATTTTTTACTGCAGAAAATTCAAATGTAAATAATTTCATATGTGTTACATTACAAGTTGCAAATTAAAAATTAAAGTAAAGTGCTATAAAATAAATTTAGTTATGTTTTTCTTATGTATTCTTCTATCAAATTATTTATTGTACATTTGTAAAACATTTTTTATTTTACTTCTTCCAAACATGCGTTGCGCATGTGTTTATATTATTGTTAACTTACAATTTAATTATCATTATTCGAATTTTCTTCTATATTTTCTAAATTATGTCTGATTTTCGCAGAGAACGTCTGATTAACACGCGGGGTTATTTCTTACTTTTATACGATAGTCGACTATTCAGGCCGGAATTACACTACATTTGGAACCGAATTGTTAACGTAGTGTTCATTCGACAATACAATACATACAAGTATCGTTCAGGTGAACGAGTCACCGTGGAGAGAATTGATCTCAATACCGTTTATTATCCATCGCATACAAGAGATTTCACGGCGATCAAATACATCGATACATGGCATAACGGCAAATTGCGATACGGTAATGATCACTATATGCCAAAATCTAGAAACCTTCACGGCAATGGTTTACGGTTAGTATATAAAACTTTTGGTAATGCATAAAAATGAATCAAATAAATTTCGTTTGCAGACTCTGCTTTACTTTGAATTTCAAAGAAACTTTGCAAATTAGAAAAATTATACGAAATAAAACTTATCTCAATCAGAATTTATTCTTTTATATCTTAGAAAGAAGCATATGTAATAAGTTTCATGCATAATTATTACTTTTCAATATATATATATATATATATATATATATA